CGATGAAGAAGGCATTTGGTTTAGATAGAATGACCCCAACTGCATCAGTTTTACAACGGTGTCATCTGTATTCGTTTGAGCAAAGAGTTAATTTGAAACTCTACGTTTTGGTCTATCGCTGCTTGTCATCAATTGCTAGCCCCCTCCTTCAGTCACTGTTTCTCCTGCGTTCAGTTGGCCCGCACACAAATGCTCGTACTCGTGGCCAGGATACAGCTGCCTTAGTATTACCTACTGTACATATTGGGTATGGACTGCGCTCAGTTTCTTTTCTGGCTGCAGGTCGGTGGAACACTCTTCCTCCAAACTGTCGTCAGGCACAATCTGCTGGTACTTTTGCTCACCTCACAAAGATTCACCTAGGGTTCCCTGTAACAAGGCCATGCCTGTTGGGACTCCCCTAGTCAAATAATAAATACTACTACTACTACTACTACTAGTGTTCCCTCCTTCATCGTTGTGTAGATTTCTTGCCGCTGCCGGAGATCGTAATGGAGCGTTCTGGAGAATGTGGAGGTGAGCAGGATGACACTCTGTCTCCGTGTGCGCGAGGAAGATTTGCTAATTCATATTTGCCGTGTTTCTCATCGTGGCCACCACTAGAGCAGCTAGTATAGCTATGGGGGGACGTCTACAAGCCGTCCAAATATCATTCTGACAAGCTGTCTAGTGAGTTGGCTCTTGCTGCGATGTTTCACTTTGTTTCGGCACCTTCAAATGTTCATGACGTGGCGTACTGCATTCCAAAATTTCCTCATTTCAAGGCCAATGGTGCCACGCGACGAAGAAACGCATTGGCTCTCCCTGCTAGCATATCGTCCCGTGGTGCCTTCTACCACTACCTGCAGCAGGCAAGGAGAATGACATGGACCAGGACGGACAAAGAATCAGTGCCGCTTTTTAGCGATGTGCAGTCTGCTGGTCCAACGTGCAAGGGACGGATGGAGCTCGATCTGTGGCACAACACTACGAGCTACATGAAAGGATTAATTCATGCTGGCATAGGTGATTTGGAGAGAGTATGACGGACTGTCTTGGTAAGATGCGACGTTTCCCAGCCCAGCAAAAATATAGTCACAGACTCACAACATCATTGAAGGATGTGAAAATTCGTGTTGCGTGAAGAAATGACATGAGATACATAGATCAGTTATTTTATTCTTTTTTGGATCTTGTAATTAGAACACAAGTGCTCGTTCTTCTTGTATTGCTTCCACACCTGCTAAGCTTTATCTCCACTTGATGTCCCATGATTTTTGGAGTTTGAGCAGGTCTTGAAATCCTTAGTTTCATTGATACCAGGTATGCTGTGACATGTGAGCATTGTAGACGTATTTATGGCACATAATACATTTCCGAGGGGCACCAAACTTTCGCTGATGGAAGTTG